GATGTGGACGGAGATGCTCTCACCCCTGCATGCCGAGGGTCCCGATTACGTGCCCCTTAACACTTAGCGCAAACGCAACCGACTATTTTTGTCTTGTAGCGTCCAGGCCCAGCTCAGCTCTTCTGTTCCAGCTGATTCCCTAACATCCACTATGCTGGCAACATCACACCAGAAACAAAAGTTCCTAGTTATGTGGGGTCAGGTAAGACGGAGATGCTCTCACCCCTGCATGCCGAGGGTCCCGATTACGTGCCCCTTAACACTTAGCGCAAACGCAACCGACTATTTTTGTCTTGTAGCGTCCAGGCCCAGCTCAGCTCTTCTGTTCCAGCTGATTCCCTAACATCCACTATGCTGGCAACATCACACCAGAAACAAAAGTTCCTAGTTATGTGGGGTCAGGTAAGCAGATATTTTTACAATATTGTGCAGTTATGCAAAGTTATTAAAGCTGGAATTTTTATTTGATGGTATGTAAGACAGCTCTGCAAAACCACACAATATTGATAAAATCAAACCCGAGAAACCCCACTTACCTGACCCCTGTCCCCTCCCTCTGCAATACATCCGTGCGAGTGCACTTTGCTAATGGAAGGAACTGATTGCTGGTTGTCTGAAGCTTGGGCAGACTTATAAGGGCTTTTTGTTGTCCTTGTGGACCGCTGAGGCTGGGGTGGGGGGGAGAAAGCCACATCTCACAAAGCTTTTACTTGCATGAACCGTTCCGCTGAGCCCAAGGTTGTTTGTACAAGCAAAAGCTGTGAGCAGGCAGTGCTCACCCGTCCTGGAAATGATAAATATGAACGTGGTTGCCAACACGGGCTGTAAAATTCAAATTCCGTTTTGTGATATATGGGGAGGAAGGTGCTAAATAGAAACAATCATTGGTTCTGGCGTTGAGCTCCAAAACGTGTCCCCGTGTGTGTCAGAGTAGTTTTGTGTAGCTCCTCGTTGGTTTGTCCAGAACTAAATCGGGTGAATGCGTACTGTAAAATATTCCTAGGCGGATGTGTTCTCCAGGCTCCAAACCTGCTGAAAGGAAAAGAGGGCACTAAGAGAGCCAGGTGGATTGCCTTGCTCACAGCGCACAGCAGCGTCGTGGTGGGTTTTGACAGCCCTTTGCAAGGGGCTGAAGAGGTTGCAGGCCGTAATACCCTATGGCCTCGGAAAGGGGCGTTTCAGCCGTGCAAGCTGTAGCTGTAGCGCGGGCTGCTACAGACTGCAGAAAGGTGGGAAAGGATTCCAGCGTGAGATTGCTCCGGCCATTTAGAGAAGGCAAAAATCTGCAGTCAGTCTCTCAGACGTGCAGCTGGGGGAGACTTGACAGTCACCCGCGCAGATCAGGGCGGGTTTGTACACCACGGACAGGTATGGCCCATGAAATGCAGCACACGGAGTTTGCTTTGGAAATCAGGCAAAAATGCAAGGCTGACCTTGTTGCGTAACGCTGCTGTTATCACGATAGCAAAGTTAGCTGTGTGACTTACGAGTGGTATTTTTATTTCAGAGCACAAAGTAATCATTGTTGGTCTGGATAACGCAGGAAAAACGACCATTCTTTATCAATTGTGAGTATGAACTGCGGGTGACGTTTCACGTCTGTCCAAGTGCGCGGTTTGTGTTCTGCTCTGCCTTGTCCTTGCTTTCCCTGTTACTTTTGGCGCCGAGAGCGTGACGCTGAAGATTCACGGATGGTGTAGGTGGCAGAGGGTCAGAGCGTGTGTTCAGAGCTTGGGAAGGTCTGTGTTTTGCCTGGTGTATGAATAAGGTTTTGTTCAGAGCTCTTATTTATCAGATTACGTTGCTATTACCACTTAATCACAGCCGCCTTCGGTGTCAGCGTGTAGGCTGTTTGCCAGCTCCATAAAAGATGATGTTATCAGGGGGTTAGCCACAGGACAGCCCTGCTAAACTGATCCATGCCACAGCCTGTAAATACCAAACAAATTGTCCTGGGAGCAGCAAAGCCCAACCTCTGCCTGCCGTGACTCGTGTCCTGTGTACCAAGATCCACTTCCACGTCGCTTGTGGTAGAGGATGGAGGAAGAAGGCTGGCCGAGCCCAGGACAGCAGAGATCTGTGGCAGGCGCAGCCCATGCCACCCTGGCCTTCATCTGAGCCACCAGCATTGGTAGCTGTCGTGCAGCTCCTGGCTTTATAGTGGCACTGGCTTGTGTTTGTCTTGCCTTAACCTTGCTGCCAGTTTACACGAGGCGTGTGTGAGCTTCGAATCTCCGGTCCTCAACCGCATGTTGATAAAAGGGTTTGAATTTGCCCACAGACTCGGCAGCCTCGAGGTGGGACAGTCGGCTCAGGGTCTGCTTGTGACACAAACAGAGCGGCCATTCCTCACGTCAAGTAGTCTGGGATGAGGACGTGTTCCTGGGCCGGTATCGGACATAATTCCTGTGAAGTGATTCGGCCGTACTGGTCCAATCCTACCCTTAAAATACGCCTTCTGAGAACGTTGGGGTTTTGTCAGATTGCCATCTACTTTCGCCTCTCTGAAACTCCTGCAGCGTCTGCAGCCACTTACGCCCCAGCATGCTCTGCGGAGAAAGGGAAAAGGTGCAGGTGGTGGTTGTTATTTAAACTGGGAGCGAGAGATTTCAGACAGCAGAAGCAGAGTGAAGAGTATTTAAGGCTAGGAACTGCAGCTGAGGGCTGTCCTGGGTGTCTCTTTCCACTTCCTCCGCAAAGGTTTCATGATTCTTCTCATCGTCTGATTTCTGCAGACTCAGTGTTTTCTTTTCCCTTTTGTACAGTGCCTCCTTTTCCTTTATGCCCGTTTCAGCTCCGCAGGACTTCCCCTCCTCTCTCTTCTATCCCCCTTGCCCTGTTTGCTGCTCTGGCAGAGCTCCGTGTGCGTACTGGCCTCTCTTCCTCCTCCTTGGCTCCTCCATCTGCGTGTATCCCTTTTTTTCTCTTACCGTGCCTTTGTGGCAGAGAAGCGTTCTGAGCACTAATTAATATTTTAGACTCATCTCATAAGGGATGGGCAGAGATAAGTGGCAGGTCTGGTGTTGGGTAGTACACTGGCCGTTACTTTGATGTCGTGGAGGATCGCAGCAGACCTCGGGGTGGTGATGCTCCTAACAGATCACAGCAGCTCCACGGACACTTCATTTCTTCCTGTTCTCACACTTGGATCTCCTCGGGTAGCAGTAGGGTTTTGTGATCAGGTGTCTAGAAATGCCATTAAGCTTTGTGCTAACCTGGTTTCAGTGTGGAGGAGGTAAAAATCCACCTCTTGTATTGCAGACTGCAAGATAGCAAGAGCTTGAATGTGAAAGGCTGCAGGTTCAGCCAAGGAAAGGGGGTTCGTGATACGTCTCTTCCAAGCATTAACTCTGCTAAACCCTGTTCTTTAGATATGAAATCAGCCACAGGCATCCTATATCACTGTTATCCTTAATTTGATTTTATGGTTCTTTCTTCTAGTCCTTCCCTTTCCCTTATATGGCTTCCCTCAAAGGTGTGTGGTGAGGAGGTTTCTCCTACGTGCTGCTGAGACACTGTGTAACAGATTCCTTTTCCAGACGTTGGACCATCCCTTTATCTCCTCAGTTCTCTGTATTCTCTTCAGCAAGTATTCCAGCACTGTTACACCTCTCAAATTGCTGCCGCTGTAACTAGAAGTTCTGCTGAGACTTCAAAAGAAAAGTTCATATAAAATGGAAGAATATGTCAAGATTATTGGAAGAAAGAAGTAATTAAGTTTGCGGAAAATGGTTGATGTTCTCCTTGAAGCTGCTTTTAAATGTTTTTACATATCCCATGCAGTGGAGTTTAAATAATTTGAACTTTCGGAATTTCAAAGTAGTTATTGGGCTACGCCAAAGGGAGAGAGAAGGAGGTTTGGACGTGAAGTAACTGAATTGTGAAGGAAGTACGCTCTTAGTGGCCTGGAGTGGAAGGAGAGCGAAACGTAGCATGTTTGAGGGAGCTGGATGATGAGTTGCTGTTTTTCTGCAGCCTTGGAAGTCTTGTGGTTTAACCACATTCTTGAAGCAGAACAACTGCCCTCTCCCATGTCTGTCAAAATGAGCCCGGAAAAAGAAAAGCTGACCGCTTAAAACAGCTTCTGAAGAAAATATTCTCTCAGCTTTATGATTTAATTAATTATAGTATAGTTGTGTTCATGAATGCTCTCTCAGCCCTATAATTTGATTATTATATAGTTCACAGAGTCCTTTTTTTCTTGCTGTTTTTGTCTTCCGCCGTCAAACCTCATCTCTGTTTGCTCTGTTAGGAGGAGTGTTTGCTGTAATTCTCCTGCTAAGCTTTCTGCCTCGCAATGACCATCGGCTTTGCAGTAGGTCGCTTTGGAGATGCTCGATAACGCAGGTAACGTGCCAGTTCTTGCAGTTCCTCACCGAGTGGCGCTCTTTCCCCCGCAGCTCCATGAACGAAGTGGTGCATACCTCACCCACCATAGGGAGCAACGTGGAAGAGATAGTGGTTAACAACACGCGCTTTCTGATGTGGGATATCGGAGGGCAGGAGTCGCTTCGGTCTTCGTGGAACACCTACTACACAAACACTGAGGTGAGGCCGAGCGCCGGCGTGTAAGAGTTGCTGGTGAAGGGATCGCAGTGTGCACGAGGCCTGTGCCTGACACGCGCCCCGCGGGTGGTCTTGACTGTGCCTTGGGTGTTTCCGTAGCTACTTCAGGGCACTCCCATTTGATTTTTGGAGTCTCCTCCTTAGCGGGCTGTTGTACGACTCGCTGTACATCAGATGCCTGACACGGAGTTGCAGTTAAAACAGACTTGTTGGTAAGGATTCTGTTCCTGGGATCTGCGGCCTCAGGGCAGGTGCTGTTTGCCTTGGTCCTGCAGATCCTCTCTCGTGGGCTGGGACCGCTCTGCCTCTGTGGCAGGTACCCTAAAACCTGTGTAACCCCTCAGGAGTAAGGCTGAAAGCCCCCAGGTTTTCCCCCGAGACCGTGGGAGCTCTGTCTTGCAAGTTTCCATGCTCAGTTTGCTTACGCACCCCCAAGGATTTTAAGAACAGTGAAGTTGCAGCACATATACTGAACTTGATTAATGATTTAAGTCAAGGTTTTCTATGTTATAAATAGTGGGTTTAAAAAGAAGTTGTTTGTTTACAAATATTAATTAACTTTGTTCTCTCGTGCTTCCCTATAGGATGCTATGTTTATCTGCATGTATGCTCTTGAAGTATGGAGCTTATGGGGTTTTTTAAATCCCTATTTGCATCTTAGTAACTGAATTAGAGAGAGAAAGATGATACAGTTTACCTTTTTAAGGCTGCGACAAATGATTTGAGGGATCTGTGCAAAGAACAAAAGCAAAGAACAAAACCAGCTCTGGAATTACAGAGAAACACTTGCTTTTGATGTCAGTTTTTTGGAAAATGGGAAGTTCAGAGGTGTGTCAGAGGTACTTTGGTGTAGAAAGCCCGGCGGGGGTTGTAAACTGCTGCGGGTAATCGCCCCCCGGCTGGCAGAAGCGTACTGTTACCTGATAATCCAGCTGACCGTCTGGCTAACGTGACGGGGACAGTGATCTGTGCTGCTGGCGAGCGTGTGGCCAGGAAGGGCTTGTTCTCTGACTAACGATTTTCACTTTTTCAAGTTCGTGATAGTTGTTGTGGACAGCACAGACAGAGAGAGAATTTCTGTGACTAAAGAAGAACTGTATAAAATGTTAGCGCATGAGGTGAGTACGCCCTGTGTTCTCTTTGGTTTATTATTTACTGTGAGCAAGATGTGGATGATAGGTTCGAAGGGAAGCACGTTTGGAGGCTGTTTGTTAAAGTTCTCACGCCTGGTAGCTGGAGACAGCCCGGAGACCTCTCCAGGGCAGCCCAAGGCAGACCCTACCAGTCCCGTTCTCCCAGCTGCAGGCTGTGTCAGAGCTGTCTTGTTCCTGGTAGAGGCTCTGTCTTTTGTGCAGCTCGCTATAAAGCTGTGAATTAATACCAAATTGCTGAAGAGAACTCCCACAAAAGTAGCTTTTCAGCTTCGGAGCGTCTCAGCGAAGTAGACGTTGGGACCTATAAACGACCTTTGTGTTTTTATACCTCAGTCTGCGTTAATAGCTGAATGAGGTCGTTGTTGTTTCCTCCAACAACTCAATTACTATTTTTGATAGCGTCGTGCTTGCTGGATGCTTTCTGTTTTCACAGTGAAACAGATACAGCCTTAATAATACGCCTGATAGCAACCAGCCATAAAACTGAAGGAACGGTGTGTCCGTGGCGAGAGTAGCCATCATTCTACCTGTACTTGGAATTACAGAACAAGAGTATAATTTGCTAATTGGTGAAGAGCCTCTTTAAAATCAAGCCCTGTGTCAAAGCTCTCTGGGTCTGGTTCAGAAATCCTGGGCTGATGTCTAAGCCAAGGAGCTCCTGTTGCATGACCTGGATGTCCCAAATCTGTCCGTGCAGTGCAGCCAGAGAGAGGCCCCGATTTTTACTAAAGACGAGTCTGTGTAAACTTGGCTACTCCTGGGACTCGTTAAGTTTAATGCAGACTGGATCAGTTGATCTGAGATGACGCCGCGGGTGCTGAGCTTCCGAATGTTAGTGTCAGAATACAAAGATGTGTGTAAAATCGATGGCATTATATCCCAAAATACGAGGTCTATATTTAAACCGTAGCCACTGCTGAGTAGATGACTGCAGGAAGAGCAAAGCCTGCCCACGTATTTGCATCGAGCGAGCGTGGTAATCTAAAGCATTTCAGGGAAAAACACGTGCTTTGCCTGGTGTCTAACTGTCAAATTAGACATTTTTGCTATTAAAATTATGCTTAAAAAAATTAATGAAGCAGGTGTGGCTGTCTTGGTTGTGGTGGAGCGTTACGTGCAGCACGGGGGGACCGTTGCCATTGGGCCTGCTGCTGTCGGAACTGGGGTGTCAGAGGTGTACTCTTCAGTCTGTTGTCGTCGCTGAACAAGATTGCATCTTGAGCTTTGTAATCTGTAAAGGGAGTTGTTAACGGACTGGATTTGAAACGAGGGAAGCCTGGAACTCCAAGCGCTGGGGAAGCCCTTGCTTCCTGGTGGGAGGGCTCCGAGAGGCCCCGTCTAACTGTAAACTGCCCGTTGTTTTACCACGAGAGGTTTTCGGTATGTTCTGCGAACTCCCCAGACGCTGTGATGCCTGAAGAGAACACCACCATATATAAGCTGAAATGAAAGTCAAATCTTTATTTAGAATAGCTTTTCCTTGCAGTCCTTGAAAATCCTTCATTTCCAGCCAGTTGAGTTGAATTTTTGTGAAGGCAAAATTGAGTTGCCCAGGTCAGCTCCAACTGTTTTCCGGAGCAGTAGATCGTTTGGGAGTTAGTTTTGCTGCTTGTAAAAATCAGTGTGCCCGATAGGCATTAAAGTGGATGAGTTGTCTCGGCTTCCTGGGGAGACCTTCTTACTTTCAGTGACTTTCTTATTTTCAGTAACACGTGTCTCTACCGATGTAATTCCAAGCAGCTCGAGATAAAATAAGCTTGCCCCTAGAGTCACTGTTCTCCAAATTGTTAGCTCTGATATTTTAAATATTGCTTGGGCCCTAAAGAAGTTTATTGCAACATGTTTGTTCACGTAGATGCCCATCCTTTGATTCTGAAGTAAGGATTTCCTACAAATCCTGTGCATCCTCTGAATAAAATATTACTGCAGCTTGCTTTACACGTGAGAACTGCTGCATGGTCTACTCATTTGGTACTAAAATCGATCTTCACAGTGTGGTAATACATAAAAATGTGGTGTGTGTATGTAACAGCCCGGCTCGGGAGCACGGCAGCTCAGGAATGACCTGTGAGGTCATGGTCAAACGGGAGGCCTCGGCTGTTAGAGGTGGGTGGTGTTACTGCAGCTGCACACGTGCAGGGATACAGGGTGTCTCTGATCCTTGTGGAGCACAGCAGAATATCGTGCGTAGTTTCACAGGTCGTCCTAGGCAAAAATTGGACCTTGCTCTGCTGGACCAAAGGGTTTTCTGAAGTTACGTGTCGGTCTGCCTGCAGCGGTTTGTAGTTCAGGTTTTTTAGCTTGAGCTTAAGGTTCTCTGCTTTGGCATCGCGTCTTTTGCCTCCGAGGGCTGATCTGTAATCGTATTTTTCCTTCTTGCTCCCTAGGACTTAAAAAAAGCGGGTTTGCTGATCTTTGCTAACAAGCAGGATGTTAAAGAGTGCATGACAGTAGCCGAAATCTCTCAGTTTCTGAAGCTGACTTCGATTAAGGATCACCAGTGGCACATTCAGGCATGCTGTGCCCTAACAGGAGAGGGGTAAGAGTTGTTCTTGGCTGTAGGAGGGGGATCTTGAATTATTTTGGCCTTTTTATTGTGCTGTTTGGTTTTAACACACATTCCTCCCCTGTCAGTGATAATCTTAAAAGACTTTTGGGCTCGGAACACGCCAACTTTAGATCAGTGTGATCTGAAAACCAACTTTCCCATCACATTTTCAGTCCCAACTCACAGTGATAAAACTTGATATGATTTGGTCCTGATGAGAGCGGGGTTTATTAAGAACAATCATAATTAGAGAGAACTTTGAAAGGCTGAGAGAATTGGGCTTCTTCAGCCTGCAGAAGAGAAGGCTCCAGGGAGACCTTATTGCAGCCTTCCAGTGCCTGAAGGGGCTACAAGGAAGCTGGGGGGGACTTTTTACAAGGGCCAGGAGTGACAGGACAAGGGGTAACGGGTTTAAATTGAAAGTGGGGAGGGTTAGATTAGATACCAGGAAGAAGTTCTTCCCAGAGAGGGTGGGGAGGCACTGGGACAGGTTGCCCAGAGAAGCTGTGGATGCCCCATCCCTGGGAGGGTCCAAGGCCAGGCTGGATGAGGCTTGGAGCACCCTTGGCTATGGAAGGTGTCCCTGCCCATGGCAGGGGGTGGGACTGGGTGGGCTTTAAGGTCCCTTCCCACCCAAACCAGTCTGTGATTCTGTGAACTTCATTGTACGTCTTGGAAGTGCTGGGATATGAGCTCTCACACCTAGATGGCAAAACAAGATCTAGGGAATGGTGTGCTCAGAATGAATTGTTTTTGGAAGTTATTCCTTCAGTCAGAATTACAATTCTTGGGAAGAATTTAAATTGGTGCAATGGAATGATTTTTGAAGTGATCCTGAGAATTGCATGTGTTCCTTAAACATTCTCTCTCTCGTTTACAGACTCTGCCAAGGACTCGAATGGATGATGTCAAGGCTTAAGATCAGATGATTGTTAATGACCTCTTTGCACAGACAATGCCCAGAAGAGCTGTACCCATGATCACCTTCACAGTGGCAGAATTTATGGGTTAGATGTATTTATACTGAACCGATTTCAACTTTATTTTCTACGTAGACGCACCCACGCGTACGTGTGTGTAAATTGAGACCATTCAGCAGACAGAAAGACGTGGTTGATGGCTCCGGTTTGGTTTCCTGTTTCTTTTCCTCTGAGGATGCATTTAAAAGCTGCGATCAACCTTCTTCGCGAGATACAGCCAACTCGGAACAGTCCGACCTTGAGCGTGGTGGAGATGAAGTGAGAGGAAGGAGCTCTTAATTTTGAGTTTTATTATTCCATTGTAGTCTTCTCTAGATGAAGATGTTGGGTTCGTTGTTTCAGTAAATTACCAAGCAGTTCAATGGCATAGGTATCAACTTTCCAGTATTTTTAGGGTTACCAATGTTACAAATGAAAAAATATTTTCCTGTCTATGTACTGTACATATTTGTGGATATTTATACCTCAGTTTTAGGTTAATTGCAATCTGTTCAGACCAGTGTGTAAAGCTGAGATCAGTCTGTTGACAGCAGTACTAACATTTGACATCGCCAGCGTGTCACCACCTCTTTTCCTCTGTTCCCGGTAAGGCTGTAACGTCCCTCAGGCCGTTGGCTTACCATGATGTGGTGAAGCAAACTCTCCTTACGACCAGCGCTTGTTTTTCACATGATTTTGTTTTTCAGGTAGGGAGGATGCCGTAAGGGATTGGGGCATATGGATTGAGCTTCAAATGACAGTGTTGGCAAACGGTGACAGCTTGCCAAAGAGTTTAAAATGAAACGGATTTTCCTTCTTTTGGATTAGGCGATTCCAAAAAGCGCGTGTCACACTGGGCTGCGGTACTGCTCTTCTCTCCTGGCAGTACTGTTCATTTACGATTCAGGTCCAGTAGAAGTACCGTTGGCTGTCATAAAGGGAAAAACATCATCTCTCTTTTTTCTTAACCAAAGAAGAGGCACAGAAATATGTTTAACAGTCCCACTGGAATCTTGCAAAAGAAGTCTGCTCTGTATGGAGTGTTTTTCAGAGGAAGGCACGCTTCTCTCTGATAGCGTTGCATGTAGATATCTCTCTGTATGCGATGGATGGAACTGGGACGGGAACAAACCAGATGACACTACTTGAAAAGCTGTAAGCGACCCCTTGATCGTGTTCCCGCACAAGTTCCAGGGCTGTACTTCTTGAAAACATGACTCCCCTGCATGGTCCCCAGGTGAGTTCTAAAGAAGGGTCAGAACACTAGAGATTATCTTTCTCACTGTAGTACCGAGAGGGATGGATGTCCCCTGCAGCAGTTGCTCAGAATTCCTGTTTTTGAGGGTACAGGCTTTTCACTGGGATGACAGTCAGATGGTTTGAAATGCTGTCGGGAGTGGGAAAGCCTACGTAGCCGTACCCCTAGGCTTTGATGTTGGAGATGTATGTTTGGGGAGTACAGTAAAATGAAATAAAACTCTGTTTAAAATATCCTTCCCTTTCTCAGCTCGTACATCCGACAGGGATGGAAAAGGCATTTTAAAGAAAAAGCTTAGTTTGAACCTTTTCAGGTGCCTGTCTTTGGTTACAGGATAATCCATTGGCGCACCTGTCTTCCCATTTGCTTGCTTCTCCAGGGATCATGTTGTGGATCTGTGGGGAAAAAGTCTGTATTTAACAAAGGCAGGTTAAAGAATTCACCTTTTTAATGTATTTTTGGTACCAGTGATGCTCACTGGCTAGGGAATCTGCTGTCTTTGTTAGTCGTACTGCGTCCATGCATACGTTTGGAGTGCATGCACACGGGTGTTGGTGTTTTATTGCAAAATGCATAAATGTTAGAAGAAATAACAATTGAATGCAAAGCTGATCTGACAGTGTCGATGAGAAATGAGGTTCGTGCACACTGACCTGTAAAATGGAATTGTACGTTTTCCAGTCCTGGAAAAGCAGACTTGCTCATAAACCCAAGCGTTTGGGTTCGGAGTCTGGTGTCTTCCCTTTCATCCTTTCAAAATATTTTGCTGTAGTACTGTTAAATACTGCATTCTTTCGCCTGAATCTGCACAGGGGGTGTGTGTATGGGGGTGTGTGTGTGTGAGATTTCGTTTGGTTTTAAGAAAACGAGTTGTTCCTGTTAATGAAACAATCACCGAGCGGTATTCTGATATCTGCTTCTTGCTGAGATTTCCTGCTCGCTCCCTCGCTTAAATCTGTAGGAGTTAGCACGTCCATGTGATGGAAGTGGTGGGTTTTTCCAGGTATGACTTATGTTGCAACCAGATAGCTGATGTTTGCGCAGAAGTAAACGTGTTTACTCTTTTTCCCTGCTGGTATCCCAGCCAGTTCCACTTCCTGTGGCCTCCGAGATGCCGTGCGGGTCACTCCATCTTTGCCTGGCAAGCGGCAGCAGACCCTAGCAGGAAGTTGGAACAACCGCAGATGCGAAGGCTGCCCGCTAAATCCGCGCCCCTTGTGCCCTGAGGAGTTTGTAATCCAAAAACCACACCGTTGGCCGTGCTGGTCGGTGACCTGACCACAGAGGTGTGTGTCACGTCACGGGTAACGATGGGATTTACCATTGATCTTGTGATCCATCGTATTTTAGGGGGCGGATGCGGCCAGTCCTCACCGGTGCAGTCGCCAGCCTGCAGCATTCTTGGCCGGGGCTTGGGAGTCACAGGAGGACACGCCATTGTTATAACCGCTGGATTTGCCGTCTCTGTCGGGATGATGGATTTTGTCTGCCCTAGCTGGGCAACTCTCTGTCCCCCAATTGAGGTGCCGATTCCAAATTCTCACATGGGCGGCGTGATCCCACGTTTAAGTGGGGCGCAGGATGGCGAAAGCGGAATAGTCTCATCCAGATGCTGCAGCCGAAGCTTTTGTAGGAAGGATTTCTGCCTGGAGGCTCTTTGTGAGAACACGTGCGTTTGCCCCGACGCTACCGAGAGGAACGTTGGAGGAACATAGCAGGATATACCCTCGCGGTAGTGCTGTGGCAGCGATGCTCCTTTCCTACACCCCCTTTGTGTGCAGTTTGAAGACCTAGTAGAGCCCGAGAGGAGCAGGGAAACTGCTGAACACACCAACCTTTTTGTCTGTGCTTGTTTACAGCTTCTTTCTCTTTTTGCCGTAGGACAACTCCCCTTTTCTCCCAACTCTGTCCGTAGAAAAGCAAGTTCACTTTGCATCAGCGCTGCTTTCGGCTTGGCTCGCTTGTTGGTCGGGAGGGATTTGTCTTAACGTGAGTCTGACCTTGATTGGTGTTGCGTTGTGTTTCGCCCGCTGTGTGTTGTGTTGCCTTGGCTTTCAGCTGAAGCTGAAGATTATTTTGCCTTTCTTCTTCCATGAAGTTACTTCGGATAATACACAGAAAAGGGGAGGGGTCTTTAAAAATGGTTCTCTTAAGTTTATGCTGCAGAATGCTATTTTACTGGTGAAAAAACAGAGCAGTGAGTCCTATTTCAATGATATTTAAAATGTTTCTTTTGGTTTAGCAAGTAATAAACTTGGTAGATCAGCTCGCAGGTGTGCAAACTACACAGGATTTTAATTGTGAGGAAAGGGGGGATGCAGGATTTGGGAAATGTGAACGGGGACCCATCTGGCTTCGTGTATTTTTTTTTTTCAGGGAGGCTTACCAGCTGTTTCCTATGCATTATGCGGTATGCTCCTAGGTGTACGCGCGCACGTGTGAATGCCAAACGTGTTTGACGGGCACCTTCTCCAGTCTATGCAGCTCAAGTGCCTCAAACTAATTCAGTAATCACATTTTTCTTTCTACACTACAATTTCCATTTTCCTTAGAATAGAGATATTTCTATAAAAGCATCTAAGTGTGTGTAAATGAGTGGGTTTTCCCCTCCCTTCGCGCCGGTTTTAACATGATTTGTGATAAATTCGTTACAGTTGTTTGTCCTCTGCGTTCCAAGCACTTCTCCCTCGAGCAGCCATCCCATGGCTAGCTTGCTTTGTGAGAGGGAACACTCCATTTGTCCTCATGTCCGATTGGTTAGCTGGAATTCCTTTTCAAGGAACTCTGTTCAAATAACTTACTCTGAGAGTACTTGGCCTTGTAAGCATCCTCGTGTGAGTAGTTCCTTTGTAACGGGCTAGTAAAATGTCAGCTTTGCGACTGTCCGGCTAATTATGTCTGGGAAATAGTGTTTCAGCTCGGTCAGATGAAGGTAATGTGGAGCCTTTACAGGTGCATCGTTGCGCACTGCAGGATGGGAATTGATGTGACGGAGAACGGCACTAAGAAATCCTCTTTGGGCATGGCTGGGATATGTGTTATCAATAAATACAAAGGTGACTTGAACAGAATTGTTGCGGTGAATATATCAAATGTACAAAAAAAAAAAAGAAATTTTAAGTGGTTGCCACTAACTTTTTTACGATGTGCTTTAGAATCATAAGCAGAAATTCTATTCTTGCCTTACTAGGATTTTACTGCTTAATTTTTATATTGTACAGAGACTCTGAACACGTTCCTGGCGTTGGCGGCAGCCCTTGTTCCTAGCGGGACTGTGCTCGCCTGCTGCCTGTAGCCGTTGGAGACGATTCCTCGGCGGTAAGGACACAAGTTGGGTGGGGTGTTTTAAGCTTCTCTGGTTTGTAAATTTAGAAAACGTAGCTGATGCTGAATGAGATTTGAGAGGCTGCTTTGCCTGGGAGGCTGTAACCCATTCTTTGTGAAACATCAGCTCAGTGTTACTCATGTCTAACCACCCCCTGCATCAGAGACCGTGGAGGGGTGGAAGAGACAGCCAAGAAAAGACGTATTCTCCTGCAGGGAGATTAAAAAATCCCAAACAAAGCCTCTCGGGTTGGGAAGCCTGAGCACTTTGGTGGCTAATAAATTGAGGAATTGGGAGTATGGGATAGAGGAACGGGAACCGATCCCGCTTAAACTCTGTCTTCATTATGTTTTCATGAATGTTTTCAACGTGTCCTCGGCTTTCTTACAACGTTCCTTTCCGAAGGCATTCATCCTGCAGCCGCACTCCTGCACGTGCTGCTCTAGATCCCAGCCTCCCCGCCTGGCTTTGTTTCTTTACGAACACAGAGTCAGGGTCGTATGGAAACACGTTGTTCATACGGCCTGCGTCGTATTTCTTTTCGGCGCTTGTATTCTGTACCTCTCTCTCTGAACTCCTCTCTGACAGAAACGTGTCAGGTGTGTGGCTGATGCGGACGCTGCAGTCAACGTTGGCTGCAGAACGTCGAGGGCTGCTGCTTCAGATGAGTACAGAGCCTCGCGAGGGCCGCTTGTCCTGGCTCGAGCACTTCTGTGACTGAAAGTTAAGCATGTTTAGTCACGTAATTTAGTGCAAACCTTTTATAAAAACTATTTATTATAATAAAGTTCAATTCTGAT